AACGTAATTCGCTTTGTGATCCATGCGTCGTTTTTAACGTACGTTATGGGGCATACTGTTCTAAATATTTTACCCGAGACAAAAGTGTCGATTAAGCTGACTTTATAATAGTCTCAACCATATCATTTCATTAGATGTTTTAGTCACAATAACTTTGTCAAAAAGAAATGCCGCTGAGACATGGAACTTAGCAGAATCGGCACAAAGGAAAGAGATGTACCTGCTTTATTTAAAATAGATTCAGTAAACGCAATCAACGAATTAGAAATTATATGGAATACGAATTGCACTAAAAAGTGGTTCCACGCAAACTGCGATCAAGCGGGCGGAGCGAAAAAACTGCGATCAATACACCGATCATGGGATTTCCGTTAAACATTATCGTACCTAATGAATGGATAGCCGAATTCATTTACAGATATTTGATTTGTTAGAGTATTTGTTTTGTCTGTGTGCGTGTCGCGTTGGTATTGAAGTTTAGGTGTATGAGTTTGGAACCATGTTTTAGCGGTTTTCGTTAGAGATTAATGATTCATGAGTTTGGAACCATGTTTTAGTGGTTTTCGTTAGAGATTAATGCTTTCATATCATTTTTAATTTGTTGAATACAATACAATTTTTTTCGATATTCCCAACAAATAGGCATGTATATAGCTAATAGTTTAAATTGTTTTGCAGCGATGAGTTGGAGTCTACTCACGCCCTGATAGTGTTCAAAGTGTTGGAACAGTACTACTTGGCAGCGGAGTCTATCGCGTACCCTTTGCCTCAAGGATTTACTTCGTTCTTCACGTACTTGGGGTACCGCACGCTGCCCTTCCACGCGTTCATGCAGCACGTGCACAGGAACGTGTTCGAGTTGCAGATAGATGTCATGAAGGCGATCATATCATGTGCGTATGATTGGGGTCTTTTTTACTTACTTACAATCCGGAATTTTTTATGACAAAGCGCTGGTCGCCCTGTTACGGATAAAGTGGATGCCATTTTTTTAAAAGTGGAGCAAGATCGGCATATCAGTAGTTACGACGTAGTCGAAGAACTGGGAATTGACCACAAAACAGTTTTGGCGCATTTGAAAAAAGCTGGGTACTCAAAACAAGCTCGATATAACGAACCGTGTACTTATTTCTGATTCTTTTTTACGATATGATGAAACCAAACCTTTTTTGAAGAAGCTGATAACTGGTGATGAATAGTGGATCACCTACGACAAGAACGTGCGAAAAAGGTCGAGGTCAAAGTCCGGTCAGGCTTCTGAGGCTTCACAGACTGGAAAATCCTAGGTTATCATTATATGACAACAAGGTGATTCTGTGTGTATAGGGGGATTGGAAGGGTATTATTTTTTATGAGCTGTTACCGCCAAGCACGACCGTCGATTCTATACTCTCCTGTGAACAACTGATTAAATTAAAGCAAGAAGTTGAAAGAAAGCGGTCGGAATTAATCAACAGAAGGGGTGTGGTTTTACACTTTGATCATGAGAATATCTTTAGCCACTCAGCAAAAAATAAGAGAGTTTGACTGGGAGGTGTTAATGCATCTGTCGTATATTCCTGACCTTGCTCCTATAGATTTCCACCTGTTTTGGTCATTTAGAATTCTTTAGCCAGTGTCAGGTTAACATCACGGGGACTGCCAAAACCACTTGTCGCGGTTTTTGATCAGAAGCCCCAAAATTTCTATAGCAATCATGTCCCTACCTACAAGATGGAAAAAAGTTATCGAACAATATGGCACCTACATACTTTACTTAAATGTAATAAATAAACTTTATTAAAAATTGTTCTAAATTTTCATATAAAATGCGAAGAAACTTTTTCCCTAACCTAATACATATCTCCGTAAAGTTACTGCTCTCTAGTGCTAACAGTCTCCAAGCAAAACCGGGGCCGGACAGACAGACGGACATGATGAAAATTAAGGGTTACTCTTATACCCGTCTTTCCCAGTGGGCATTGTGGGCAAGTGCTCAGGGCCCCGCGATCGACAGGGACGTAGTTCCTGTTTAATCACCAAACGGAAGTCATAAGGGCCCCATTATCCTAATATGCCCAGGGCCTCCAATAGGTCAAAGACGGCACTGCGTACTCTAAAAAGCAGAAGGTGTGTTTCGTTTGATTTGGAACGCCCAGCAGTTGAAGTGCTTCCACTTTCAAAAAACTGCAGGTGCATTTGAATAACACGCATATGTTGGTCTATCTATCTTCACGCCGAGTCCCGGGTGGAGTAGGCAGTGCACATATGTTGGTAGTCAATACTAGTATAAGATTTGCCCTATCGTTCATCAGCTAAGGACGACGACCCGAAGACAGTGAACAACAAGCTGCGACTGATTCAGCTGGTGGGCGAGGGTCGCGCCAGACGAGCCCTCGCGTCGTGGGGACACCGCGCCGCTCTAGTACTGCGGGCGCGCGACCACGCCGCCACGCTGCTGAGTGGCGCGCCGCCCGCCCCACGGCCCGACCACGCGAGACACCGGCCTGTGCGTGACACCGGTGAGTCCCGCCCCACGGCCCGACCACGCGTGACACCGGTGAGTCCCGCCCCACGGCCCGACCACGCGAGACACCGGCCTGTGCGTGACACCGGTGAGTCCCGCCCCACGGCCCGACCACGCGTGACACCGGTGAGTCCCGCCCCACGGCCCGACCACGCGAGACACCGGCCTGTGCGTGACACCGGTGAGTCCCGCCCCACGGCCTGACCACGCGTGACACCGGTGAGTCCCGCCCCACGGCCCGACCACGCGAGACACCGGCCTGTGCGCGACACCGGTGAGTCCCGCCCCACGGCCCAACCACGCGAGACACCGGTGAGTCCCGCCCCACGGCCCGGCCACGCGAGACACCGGCCTGTGCGCGACACCGGTGAGTCCCGCCTCACGGCCCGATCACGCGAGACCGGCCCCTGCGCGCCACTGGTGAGTCCCGCCCCACGGCCCAACCACGCGAGACACCGGCCCGTGCGCGACACCGGTGAGTCCCGCCCCACGGCCTGACCAAGCGAGACACCGGCCCGTGCGCGACACCGGTGAGTCCCGCCCCACGGCCCGTCCACGCGAGACACCGGCCCGTGCGCGACACCGGTGAGTCCCGCCCCACGGCCTGACCACGCGAGACACCGGCCCGTGCGCGACACCGGTGAGTCCCGCCCCACGGCCTGACCACGCGAGACACCGGCCCGTGCGCGACACCGGTGAGTCCCGCCCCACGACCCGACCACGCGAGACACCGGCCTGTGCGCGACACCGGTGAGTCCCGCCCCACGGGCGACCACGCGTGACACCGGTGAGTCCCGCCCCACGGCCCGACCACGCGAGACACCGGCCTGTGCGCGACACCGGTGAGTCCCGCCCCACGGCCCGACCACGCGAGACACCGGCCTGTGCGCGACACTGGTGAGTCCCGCCCCACGGCCCGACCACGCGAGACACCGGTGAGTCCCGCCCCACGGCCCGACCACGCGAGACACCGGCCTGTGCGCGCCACCGGTGAGTCCCGCCCCACGGCCCGACCACGCGAGACACCGGCCTGTGCGCGACACCGGTGAGTCCCGCCCCACGGCCCGACCACGCGAGACACCGGCCTGTGCGCGCCACCGGTGAGTCCCGCCCCACGGCCCGACCACGCGAGACACCGGCCCGTGCGCGACACCGGTGAGTCCCGCCCCACGGCCCGACCACGCGAGACACCGGCCTGTGCGCGCCACCGGTGAGTCCCGCCCCACGGCCCGACCACGCGAGACACCGGCCTGTGCGCGACACCGGTGAGTCCCGCCCCACGGCCCGACCACGCGAGACACCGGCCCGTGCGCGACACCGGTGAGTCCCGCCCCACGGCCCGACCACGCGAGATACCGGCCCGTGCGCGACACGTTCTGACGTTGAACGTCTATCGCTTGCGGCAGCCATGAGGCTACTGGTTTATTTTAGTTTTTAAGCACTCAGATAAAGCCTCAAAGTAAGCACTGTAAGGCTTGTGTTATGGGATACTAAGGTAATGAATAGAATACATACAGGGCTAATTTTAAAATACTAATAAACTCGCAGCACTAGATAGCTAACATCATACATCATGAAACCCGGCATACAAACCACTTGGCCACGGAGGTTGTTGATTGGTCGAGCATATTCCCCTCCCGCGTCCATGATATGTCCTCGTCGCAGACCATGGGAGGGTCGACTTTTGTATCGGACAAGCTATATATCAGTATGTTTAAACCTCATACTTCCGCCCGCCATTTATTAAAGCTCTTATAACATTACTTGACACTAATAGAAACTATATTGTTTCACAGGAATAGCAGCTTTACCGTCAGGCGAGCGGTTGTCTCCTTTGGACACCTTCTTGGATCTTCTGACTGCCAAGGCGAGTCTTAACGAATTAGACTTTAATCTTATCATTGAAGCTACTCTAGCTTCTGTACAACAAGACACTGCAGCTTAGTGCCATAGAACATAATCAATTCACTAATAATTCTTTAAAGGAAATCAATAACAGAAGGAGAATCATTTTAAGTTAATCTGTAGACTAGAACATAACGATTATTATAAGAGGACCTAAAGGGCGCGCGCAATGCGATATACGCATTTGGTCTGCGATCATAGTACTTAAGCAACTTTCGCAATAGCCTGTCATTGAATGGGTGACCAAAAACTTATGATATCAAGCACCACGGTGATTACGAAAGCACGTTAACTTAGACCCAGCTGTAGTAGCAGCATCCACCGATAATATTATGATGTTATACTTGGATTTATTGTAGCTTATTTGACATATAATAGGTAATCATTACAAAAATTCACCTATAAACTTATTATGTAATAAAATAATTTCTTAACATTCCATTTATACAATTTTTAAGCTTATTGTATGGAAACCAAAGAAAGCACAAACTTTCATTCGTATAATTGGCTTATTATGTGCAATACTATGTGATAGTGTACTTCGTTTTTTGTTATATTTTACAAAATAAAAAAATGTGTTATTTGTATACAGTGTATTTATTTATTTACAATCAACTAATACAATCATGTCAGTTGTAAAATGGATTATATGTGACCCAGTGAGCTCTCTGCTGATCTTTGTCATTCTTATGAGAAGTAAATAATGATTTGTACACTTCACTTGATTGTGGGTCTTTAGCTATACTGTAATCTTTCTTAGTTTTCTTATAAGATGGGTCTTCAATGAGTTGTGTCGGGTGTGCTCTTTTACTTGAACCAAAGTGTCCGCGAGTCTGTTTATTTGGGTTATACTTGGGTAATGATAGTGGAATGGTATCAATTTCATGCTTGGTGGCTTGACTGGGCCCTGCTTCCGGCTCAGCTTCTTGCTTTATATCTTTCTCAGTTTTAATACCAGATGTTGAAGGTTCACTGGCAGAAGTTGACGGAGCCTCTGTATTTGATATCTCAATTTCAGCTTTTTCTGACTTATTTACCTTGGATTTCTTACCACTCTTTCGGGTTGCAACCCTAATTGTCATCTTCTCTCTGAGCTTTTCTAAATCTTCATCTGTACCATTAAGGACAACAACATCATTGTCTGTGAAAGGTTGTTGACACTGGAAATAAAGGAAATTATGTAGTAACAAATTATGTAGGCTAAATACCAGTATTTAGAACTCATGAGCCTTTTTTTTTGATGGTGGAAAATGCATTTACGCGCTTGCCAGGCGCGCGACGTGTGTGGGACTCCCCGGCGTGGAACAACGCCGGTCCTACCCACTAAAAACCACCGGTACCCTCCTCGGCCCTTATGAGGGCGCTCTGGGATCGGCGCACCTACGTGCGCCACTACACCAGAGCGAGAACTCATGGGCCTAGCAACTTTACACTAAGTAACAAGTACAGAAGTTGTAGTTTGCCTATGTGTCCTTTATAAATACCAACCACTTTTTAATTGCAAAAATAAAATTATTAACTAGGATAATTCAGTTCCTATGTTTTCTAAAACATGACAAGTTTTCTAAGCATAAAATTATGCTGGACTTACCATGTGACAAATATTCTGTTTAACTTCTCTTAGTGCCCTTTCAGCAAGAACACAGCCACAACTCCACAGGAATATGAAACGAAACTTTCCAGTCATCTCCAGGCCACTAATGGGGCAGATGTAGGGTGCACTACCATCACCAACTGTGCCTTCTGTGTGTTCTGATGCAACGTAAGCTGGATTCTTCACAAGCTTTAGGTCCTTGAGATCCTGAATAGAATAATACAATAATCACAATATATAGAAATTTAATGAAACAAGTGAGAAATTAATGGAACAGTTCTATTATCAAAACTGAAAAATCTAGTATGTAAATAATGAATCAGAATATTTCTTGAAGTTCCATACACATATAGAAAGCGCTAGCTGCTCAATTAATATGCTTAAATCATATATGAGCTATCATAAATAAAGTTGGGCAGTAGCAATAACTTTTAAAAGTACCTTGAGGTTTTTGATGTGGTTGATTGATTCAGGTTTGGAATCTTTGTCTAATAAAGCTTCCAGTACTGAACTTTTGCTGTAGAGGCGACCGAGTCCACACGCCACTACTGGCTCTTGTAATGGTTGCTGGGACAAAGCACAGTTGCGCCATTTGAAAGAACGTTCTGCATCTTTATCTTTCTGCAATAAATACCATAGATATGAAACTATACTAAAACAAATACGAAAGATTGCATTGGTAAGTTGTTAATATGTGGCTACATATTATTAGACAGTAAAAAAAGGCGATAATGTGTATAGCGTATGCTTACCTGCTCTGGCTTTTTTTTAAGTCTCACGAGTTCATCTCTTCGGGGGATAGTACCGCCGTCGCAACCCATAGTACGTACTTCACTTTAACCGTGGTATAAATAAATTTGAAAGGGATTATAGTTTCCTAAGAAATTTAAAATTTGTGGACTACAATAGATAGCTTTAAATAAATTAAATTGCACGACACGTAAATAATGCTATGTCTTCTGTTTGACATAGGGACACGAAAAAAGTATCGATTCTTTGTGGTATCGAGTACTTTTCCTTTCGATACCGATACTTTTGTACTCGATACTTTGTATTCGATACTTTTACTAAATGAGTACTTTTTGGCAAGTATCGATACCTTTAAAAATTTGGATAAGCGCCTCATATTGATGGCAACGCCATCTTGTTAAATCATAACAAACCTCCTTAAACGTTCCATAGGGTATTTGACAAGTTTTAGGCAACGATCTCACGTTGTTGACTAATGTTTATGGAGTCCGTAAAAAGTGGATATTCATCATTCTGTCGTGTATTTCAGTAAAAATAACCAAATCAAAAACTCAATTTTCAAGTTGCCGCGAAAACGTTTTTCTGGACAATACGGCGTCCCACTAGTGTGTGACGTCACACGACTGTTATTTAAACGTCAAACGATACAATGTAATGTCACTGTAACCGGAAGTTTACTTGCGTGTGACGTCATTTTAGGCTCCGCCAATCCCAAGCGTTTTGGGTCACGTGACAATAGATAAGAAAACTAATATCTTTATCGTTAGTTTTTAGTAAAATTATGAATATTTTTTTGTAAAAATAGTAAAAACCCATGCCCATATTCAACCTAAAGACAGATGCTAACAATTGGCACTTTATTTTTAATACTGTCAAATACCCTATTGCGTTGTTATAAAGTCAGTAACTGACATATTCAAATTCTTTCCAATCTGTGACTGTGTTTATTTTGCGCTTTGTTTTGTTTTATAGTTATTTATTTAACGACCATATTATTAGGAACTGTGATTGATTCGCCGTTTATTGTGCTTTTCGCTTGACTGTATTTGATTTAAATAAAACTAGTTTTTCATACAATGCACGAAACTTTATTTATTTATTTTGAGTTTGTTTCGCCGGTTCTTCTCAGAAAGATCTCCCAATTTTGGAACCGGTGGTAGTTTACGGTAGTTAGGGTCAAATAAATAAATTTAAAATTACAAAAAAGATTTTTAAATAAAGTACTTTATTAACTAAATTAAGTAATAAATTCATATATAGACAATAAAACTTTAAAAATCGAACAATGAAATAACCGAACGCTCAATAAAAGTCTTTCGAAGGTAGCTCGACAAAATTAAATAAAATTGATTCCGACGACGCGGTAAGGCCCTATGAAATGTACTCGATACTTTGAAGTATCGATACTTTTGTTTCGATACTTTTACGAGTACGATACTTTTTTACCGATACTACTCATGAGTACAGTATCGATACTTTCTATTCGATATCGTGTCCCTAGTTTGACATCGACTTTTGACCAAAGATAACTATTTTTTTTGTTAAAGTTCTCCCGTTTTAGGGAAGGCAAAGGGAACAATGCCCATACAGCCTGATTTTTAATTAAATTAATCTTCTTTTTTTTTTTACATTAGAATGTGTGACGCATTCTAATGTTTCTTGGAGTGTTTAGTGGTTTTCCAATTACAGCACTAGTGCGCATTATGCGGCACAATGCTTAACGTTGAATGTTTCAATTACAGCAACGCTTCGCACAATCGAGCACTCGCAAAAGTAATGTTTTCGTGTGAAGCGTTCAATCGTACCAACTTAGTGACAGAAAATTAAGTGTTTTTTCTTTAAATTGGCATTGATCGAAAGGTTTTATTTATCGTTAGTATTATTATTTATTTTTGAAAAAAAAAAATAAAGCTTTCGTTTCATTGTAGTTTTTTTTAAATAATCAAAGTTAATTCAAACTGTGTTAAAAATAAATATAAGTATTGATGAAGGTAGACACATTGACTTTTTTTCAACACTGAATTAAGCGCACTCTGCTGGTGCATTTGAAAACTATTCACGTTCCAATAAGGCATCAGCATAATTCGGCATTGTGCGCCACTGAGTCGCATTATGCTCTGTAATTGGAAAACCACCTTTGGCATGAAATATATCGAGTTGGCTTTTTCGATAAGCTTCTGTGAGGTAGTCAACACTGCAATAAAATTCTCACGTCCACTTGACCGGAATTGCGTATATTTTAACGATTCCACTAATTCTTCAGTTACGCAGACGGTTGTTACACAAAACCACACCAATTTTATTTCACAATATCCACAATGAACGAATTTAAGAATAATCAAAATAAGACGCCAACTAGGCTTGTTGAAAATATATCGATGTATCGATATATCGATATTTTTTGCCGATATATTTTGATTCGATATATCGATACAAAATAACCAATATCGAAATTCGTATCAAAAACGATATTTTTTTAATTATTAGCGGCATATCACGATCTAACTAAATTCGTATCTGGAAAAATCGTAACTAGATCTCAGATTAACATATCTATGATCTGTGCTGTATTTAGTACTGTCTATTATTTGTAAATCTGTTTCGCTGGTGAATTGGTTGTGCTGATTTCCATTATATTCTGTGGAAGTGTGTGACTGTCTAGTCTTGTTTACGAAAGATGGCACTTGAGAGGCCCTGGCATTGGCATTTTCATCATTCGAAAATAGGGTCTATTTTTAGGGAGATAATTTTCGTTCCATTATTATTCCGCGTGTCATATTTCGTGAGATACTATATACTATATAGATAATTTGTATTGAACTATTATTACTATGCTAGGCTCACCTAAATATATTTTTGGAAAAATTGGCCCGATATATCGATATTTTTTTTCGCGATATATCGAAGCCGATATTGATATTTTTTAAAATATCGATGTATCGATATATCGATATTTTTTCAACTTTCGACGTCCCTAACGCCAACCGCACTCGATGAAATCCCACCAAAAACCACAGATTACTAATACTAAGATTATGCCATTATGCTTTTGTCATTGACAGCCAAGGTTGCCAACCATAGATTTTTTTCCCCTTCTACAGCTAAAAATCTCATACACGATCAGCATTTTATCATGCATTCGATACCATTTTTGGCTATGGTATTTTATTTTGCACAGATTACAGATGTTTTGCGATTGTTTTGACAGCTGGGGCTGAACAATTCAAGAATTTAAAATCACACCTTTAAATCATAATGATTACCTTTCTCTGATGAGTAAATCCTAATTGATTTAAAATTGCAAAAGCAAAGCTATTTATCCCGTTAAAAATGGAAGATGAACGTGTTCCTGAAAATGGATCCGAATGTAGTTCAAAAGCAAATGTATCTGATGATGATGGTTTGATTATAAAGAAGAAACTCAGAAAGCGTGGTATAATCTATCTGTCTACAATTCCTCCGTATATGAATGTGGCTAAGGTACGAGAAACTTTTAGTCAATACGGTGAAGTTGGTAGAATTTATTTGCAGTTAAATAAGAGTAAGTATTTTGAGGTTAAATATGTTGCTTTTTAAATAAAACTATTACATGATTGAATTTTTAATATCTTTATTGTTTAAATGCTCAGAACCTGGTGAGAAACGCAAGCGAATCCCAAATCAGTTCACTGAAGGTTGGGTGGAATTCCAAAAAAAGAGAGTGGCAAAGGAAGTTGCTGCGAAATTGAACAACACAAAAATAGGGACACGCAAGAAATCTCGCTATTATGACATGATATGGAATATCAAATATATTCCCAGGTTTAAATGGATACATCTCAGTGAGAGACTTGCTTATGAGAGGGCAGCAATTAAACAACGATTGCGGGCTGAGATATCTCAGGCTAAGAAGGAAGCTCATTATTTGCAAAGCAATATAGAAAAAAGCAAAAAAAATAAGAAAAGAAAAGTCACAGAGATATGATTAAAAAAATTAATACATTGTTCCCTCAAAAAAATATTGTCCTTTTTATTTACATTTCCATTGCTAAATGATTTATTTAGTTTTATGTAGCTCTAAACATACAGATCTTATTTCTGACTAAAGTTCACTTTGCCACTGACAATCTCTTCTACTCTCATTCTCTGATGAGTGTTTAGAGGATCAGGAGTCAATTTTTGGATGTATCTTCTTGGAGGGATTTTGTGGGACAAGATACCTTGAGAAAACTCTCGATGGACTCTTACCCCATCTAAAGCGTTTGGTTGAAGCTTTTCAAAACTGTGTAGTTCTTTCATGAATTGTCTATGTTGCGCTACAGTTGCCCAGTGATACCGATGACGGCACACTACACGGCTGAAAGCAAATATAATGTCCACTTTGTATTAAATTATCTTTATTTAACAGCATTGTAATTTTTTTTTGTGAATACTGCCCCAAAACCCACAGTTGTTTTTGAGGAATTAGTAGATATACATACAGACAGATGCAAAAAGTGACTGAGATAAACTACATTATAATAAGTTTATGCACTTACTATGCTAATGCTAATTTAGTGTAAGATGGGAAGATGCTGACATCTGATCTAGCCAACTCTGGGAACCCAGGGTATAAAGGTATCTTTCTCTTTTTCGCTTCTGAGGATTTATCTTGTGCAGCCATAATGTTTAACAAAGTATAGCCGGTTTGTTTTATGATTTATGAACAAAGTATCCTCAGAAGTATGGAAAATAGGAGAGCCTGTCAACTTAATGCATGACACTTGGTTACTATGGAAATGGGAAAGTATTGCTACCATAGGGAAAGGTAATCATTATGCTTTATTGTTACCATGGATGAAGGATTTCAATTTTACAAAAATATTGTAGAAGAAATTCTTTGGCTACTCAGCTAATTTTATAGGAAGTTCCATCGCTAACATATTCTCGTAGTTTTGGAGCGCATGTCTAATTGCTAACTTTAATCGTGCAATTATAAGTACCAAGGTGATAGTATGAACACATAATAATATGACGTCGTGGTGGCACTTTCGTAAATGTAAAATTGCTAGGTTTTATAACATGTGCATTAAAACCATGTTTTTGCCAAATAATAAATTAGTTTATGATGAGGCATTCAATATGTAGGGGCTGTTAGGGTTATTAATCTTTGTTTACAATAATCAGTCTTAAATTTATTTGCTAATTTGGGACTTTGCTATTCTTCATAGAAGAGAACTAACAACCTCCTTGTGAATGAAATCAAATAACAACATCAAATTAACAGTTTATTCATACAGAATTAATCATATTAAATCTACATGCAGAGCCAAAATTCTTTGTTAGTGTAGTTACAAAGTTTTTCCTGTACTATGTAAAAACTTGCAGCTCAAGATGATGCGGTGACGGCAGCCACTCTACTCTTGCAGACACAATCATTGAATTCGTTTACTAAAACTGAACAAGAGAGGGGCTTGTCAGGATTTGTACTGTAGCATTCTAGAACCTGAAAAACGAAAAAGCTTATCTTAGTGACCTTTATAATAGATGATTGACTGACTGTAGAACAAAAATGAAATCCTGGGGCCCAAGCACAAATAAGTTCTGTAATTGTATCACATCATCAGTCTTTGAAAAATAAGCAGCGCCTCTACTGGACATAGAACAAACTGGCTGCTTCCTTACAAAATTTGATGTTAATAACAATATGATTACAGAGCTGTTCATGCTTAGGCCTCAGATATAAAAGTATTGATGGTTAAATTGTTCTTGTTGAATTTATATATTTTGATAGACTCCCTTTGATATAAAAGGTGAGAGTTGGTATTATTGACATGATATTTTTGCACAAAATAGTAAATACCAACATACATATAAACATTGTTAATTACCTTAGTTTTTTCTTCCTGACAAGGTGGCAATTTGGTAGCAATTTTATAAGTTTGTGTTAAATCAAATAATTCATTAGCTTCCTTTAAAGTTTTCTGGTATTCTAAAACCATTCCAGAGTTTATTTTATCGTGTGCACGTTTCAAATTCTCTATTCGACGGGTCCAGTATGCTTCTTCAGAAGCATAATCTTGGTTTCGCCGTTGGTCATATGAGGGAGGCGGTCTGTACTGGGCCGGAGGTGGTATTTGTGCTTGTTCCGTTTGCTGTAATCAGAGATTATCTTTTTAGTCAGTATATGAAAATATATTGTAAATTAGAAACAATTGTTTTGGCTATAACCTTAAATGTTACAGGTTTCTATGAACGTGACTGTTGACATTTATTAAATGTAAAAATTTCACTATGAGGTTGATGAATGATTTACTCTTTTATTAAGGTATTGTATTAAAGTTTATCTGATGTTGATAACTAATTATGTAATGTAGAAACATCATATTTACTTTGCCTGTCAACTGCGTTTGTATTCGGTCTAATGCCTCTTGTGATACCTGTATAGCATTTTCGTTATCAATAGTAACTTTCCGTGTACTCTGCGAACCTCCCATATTTAAAAAATGTATTAATAATTTTATTTATTTATCGTAAGCACCTCAAAAAACCATCTTTTGACATTCCAATTCCATTCGTTTTGACCACAGACTAGTTACAGATACTAGTTTTGATTTGACGTTTCTGATCAGTCAAGTAACCAGTGTTGCTAACTCATTGTAGTCATTACGATGACTATAAAATTACCGTACACTAAATATTTCTCCAAAACCATTTAAACAATAATATTGTTAGTTAAGTTATGTCATCCTACTAATATAATAAACGTGAAAGTTTGATAGTTTCAGTGTTTGTTACTCAATAACGCATAACCTACTGAACGGATTTATTATTATAATTTATCACCTCGATTGACATGTAGAATATCTTTATCTGCTTGGAGTCCGCATAAACAGTATTTGCGGGCTATTTAAAGTGAAACTTTTATTATATTACCATACATTTTCGTTCACTTTTAGGATGCAGCATTATATTTTTGATTCTTATTAACAATAAGGGTTGCACTCCGGGAGTGCCGGCAGAAGTGAAAACTTGAATAACGAATAATAATTTAATAATAGTAATTTATTTAATTTAACGTTGTGCTTTTTTGATATTTTGGAATGGCTAGGGAATAATTTTGCACGAATTGCTTTCATTATCAGTATAAAGTACTTTTTCATCAGTTATGTGGTAGAATACAATATTTATTTATTGCGCTATCGGACACAAACATGACAATTTATATTACATTAAAAAGTTTATCTCTCAGAAAAATCAACTTACATGAATCACATTTAAGCGCACCTAGCGACATCTATTGTAAAAAAATGCATTTTCTTTGCAATAAAGCTACCACCTGGTCGTCCTAATTAGAGACTTATTATTATAATACGATAAAATAAAATATTACTGTGTTTCGTCCAAAATATTGAAAGTCAACAACCTTTCCAATTTTATTGTTTTCGATTAGGCCATGTGTCCTGAAGCGAGTTAATCATTTTTTACCCATTACAAAAAAATGTTCATCAACAATCATCGGTAGTTCAGTGGTAGAAAGCTGACTTTCAACACGAGCGGCCCGGGTGAGAATCACAGTTTAAGAAGGTTTTTTTTTATTTATGATTTTAAAGTTTCATTTGCATCGTGCTTTTATAAAAAAATGTATTTTTCATCTCGGAACAATACCATAAAACTAAAGTTAACGCATAAGAAGTTACAGACGACCGCTAGCTTAGTATAATAAATGACGACCTCCATGGCCGAGTGGTTTGTGCACCGGGTTTCATGGTATCGCCGACTCGAGAGGTCCCGGGTTCGAATCCCGGTGGGGGCAGATGTTTGTGTGATGAACACGAGCATTTGTACTCCAGTCATGGATGTTTAATATGTATTTCTATGTAAATATACTTATATATGTACTGTATATGTATTCTATCCGTTACCCTAGCATCCCATAACACAAGCCTTACAGTGCTTACTTTGGGGCTAGGCTAATTAGTGTTAGTGTTGGAAATATTTATTTATTATTATTATTATAAATAAATTAATAAATATTTCCTACACCAACACCAATTAGCTTAGCTCCTAAGTGAGCACTGTAAGGCTTATGTTATGGGATGCTGGGGTAAAAGATAGAATACATATATTGATACATATTTACGTATATTATATCTAGAAAAATATATGAGCATCCATGACTAAGGTACAAATGCTCTTATTCATCGTGCTAATATTTGCCCCCACTGGGATTCGTTAGTAAGCGATATATACCACTCGGCCACGGAGGTTATTATACGTTTCAGTGATTGGCAGAGATGCCAATTTTTGTACTCCCATACTAGAGATCATACATCAAAAAATAAGCACATATAGGCGTCAATTCCGGCGTGATTCTCTAAACTTAAAATCAATTTTAACATCAGTCTCTACTTTTCATTCTGTACAGAGAATAACAAGGATAAGCTGTTGTCTAATTTAATTTTAGGTTTAGGGAAACATGCCAGAATCGACACCATAAAATACAAGAAGAATCAATCATAATACAAAATAATACAATCATAGCTTTTAAGTGACGCAAATGTTTAGACCTAATTTATTGTATTTAAGTATAAGGTTGATGTACTAATTTCAACGAATAAAACATTTTCTTTCTTTCATAAATTGGTATAATAAGTTCACCACAAATATCATGCATTTCTGGAGTTATTGATACACTAAAAATATGACGTTAATTATGATAGGGTGGTCAAAAACCTTACAAACTATTAAATTGTTACACACGTTTTAAAATTTAAATAAAAAAAATCAAAGTATCTATTCATGTTGTAATATAAAACAAGCTTTTAAATTATATATGTTTCGTCGCTGCCGAAAACCGACTACCACTTTTGAACCATCTGCTTTCTACTGAAGATTGAGAGAAACGTTACTACAGTCTACCCTATACATAACTGATTTATTGAATTTGTGTTTTATTCGGTTTCAGCTCTTGAATGATGTGAATTCATTGATTACAAACGTTACAGCAAAAGTAAAAATACCTGATACTTTAATTTATTTATGTATTTAGATTCTTAATAACTGAATGTCATGAATCTACAAAAAAATCTGTATGTAACAGTTATCCGTATTATGGCAGTGGAACAAATCGTATATTACGGAGAATTAAGTATAAATTGCAAGTATTGCAACACTGTCAAAGAGTATACACGCGGCCATAGACAAGCCGGTTTTAAGAATAATAACTTAAGCCGGAAATATATTTGTCTTACCTGTTGACCGCTGAGTGTCGGTTATGCCGGGCCGGTTCAGTTCGGTAAGCTGTGTTGCTAGGTTTTAATAGTCAGTCTCTTCTTATTCTGTAAAATGAATGACAAGAATACATTGGTGTCGATTCTGGCGTGATTCTCTAAACTTAAAACTAAATTTAACATCAGTTTTCCCTTTCATTCTGTATAGTGAATGACAAAGATGCACTGTTGTCAAATTTAAGTTTAGCTTTAGAGAATCATGTCAGAATCGACACCAGTGTTGTCAAATTTAAGTTTAGGTTTACAGAATTATGCCAGCATCGAAGCACATAGATAAAGTCAATGACCCATTTTAGCAAATGCCATGAATTATATGGCGACTGTTTAGGACGCGTAGCGTCTACACTGGCCTTATGGAATCAAGGGCGGCTGCAGCCACCGTCGGTTTATTCAACCATAACAGGTCCCTTACGCAATCGGCACATGTGTCAGGGTCATTGAAGGAAAAGCAGTCACTACCACGGGTAGGACGCAAAAAAATCATTAAGACCATCCAAATCTGCCAACTTATATTGTCAGACTCTGCGAGAACCATTAGCTGCGTATGGGACACGCAATGGGGAATGTAGAACGAACCAGGCAAAGACGACGACCCTAATGGGCCATCGCACCACTTTGTTTTCCGTCTGGTTGTGTCGTTAAAAGCTGGTCCAACAGGGATGGATTTCTAAAAATATTGAGAGGCGAGTAAGCTGCGACACCATTTTGAAAGAAACCGTGGTCCAGAGCAAAGTAATTAAAAGCTCGACCCTGGAAGTCAGCAATGCGGGACCCCAACTAAACCTGATATTTTATTAAATATTATACACCTATTTCTCGTATATTTTAATAATAATTTTATTTCCCGCTGGTGTGGTCGAGTGCAAGTGCAAGTGCACCCCTTGCACCGTTATTCGTTGTTCTGCCGTGCACAGCTCCAGGATTTAGCCCAAAATATAATAAAGCATTAACATATTAAAACAAGTAGACTCCTTTTTCATTTTATCTAAGGCAGACTCAATTGCCTAACTAAAGTGCATAAAAAAACGTCCTTATACATAATACATCAACTTATACAGATAACATTAACACATTTGTTCAAATTAACACATTACTTCGTGGCACTAAGATTCCAGGAGCTCTATTTTTGAATCATTCGTCTGACTGAGTATCGTCGAATGCGACATAAGTCACCTTCGACTTTCAAGTCGCATAATATTGATTTTCCGTATTTTTGAATCACTCGTCACCAGTGTTACCTGTTTGATACGGAATACGAAATTTTACTCATTTCACGCAGAAATAATAAAAACCGTTAATTACTACTACTCTTTGTCGTTTCATATAAAGCATGACAATGATAGATTATCGTCGTCTAATACCACAAAAAAATTGACAATTATTCTATCATTCGCCTCCACCATTCGCCATGCAGCGAGTGGTCTCACCCATTCGTTGCACTCGAGCGATTCAAAAATACGGAATTATTATGTCCAATGAAATTTAGTAGAAATCGAGCGTACGACGCAAGACGAGTAATTCAAAAATAGAGTTCCATGTCAATCGCATCGTATACGAGTGAGAAACAAAGTAATACTCGAACTAGTGACGCGCGGGGTACACCCGGGAAGGGAGTGAGATTTTGTTGTAGTAGCAGTAGCTATTAAACTATGATGATTAGTTAGCAATACGAAAGAAAACGGCAAGATAGTTGCGTAATTTTGTTAGATTACAGGGATACTTACCTGAAATATGTTTTTAAGTATGAATCATTTTCACAGTTTTTAACTGATTCACACCGCGGTCGAAACACGACTGTTTGAAAATTACGCACAATAGACGCACGTCTACCTACGTACGTTTTCTGGTTCCGTTTTGCTATTACCAAGATCAATCCGTCTCTGACTACACTACATCCAGCTGCTTTTGTATCCTCGGGTTGATTGTGGTAAAATTTTATGAATCACTACTGAAACGGAAAAGGCGTCTTTCAAGGCAAAAACTGTATATTTTCCAGATAAAATAATAAAACATGCACTTCATTCTATCTCTTGTCATCGTCTTTGTTTCGATTTCAACGTCACCGTAAGTCAGCGTCAGTTCCGTCAGTCAGTTACTCGGCCAGCTACTAAAAAGTCCATAACATTCCCACCTCCAGTATTGCGAAGCAATACTCAGCCATGTCAGGCAAGAGAGAGAACGAAGTCAGGTCCAGTCACTATGTCTAACAGTCAGAAGTCGGGAGTCTAACGTCGAGCCGGCAAAGTTTTGTTACAGGTCGTTTGTAAGTCCCAGTCACAGTCTTCACGTCAG